TGCCTCTGAGGCCCCCCCTGGGTCAGGCCTGGTCTCCGAGGCCATCTCCTGGACTCGGGCCTGCAGTCATGGCTTCAGGCCCTGCCGTCCCCGCTGAGACCCAGAAGCAGCCGTGAAAGGAACCTCCCTCCAGGGACCCAGGGAGGCTGGGCTGGGGGCAGGGAGGGGAAGGGGTGTTGCACTTGGCACCAATAAAGGAGGAATTCAGACCCTGGCCTGGTGAGCCTGCTGTGTGTGCCCCCTGGGTACCTGGAGGCAGCCCTGCAGGGCGGAGCTGTCGGAGGGAAAGGGACCCCATCCCGGGAGCCCAGCTCTGCGGCCACGCCCAGCCGCCCTTTAAACCTGGGAAGCCAGCGGGCGCCTCACCTTCCCGCTTCCTTATCTCTGGCATCAGGGCCACATCCTGTCCCATTGACTGAGCTCCCCAGGACCCGCCCACACCCCTCGCCATCCATTCAGCAAACATTCAGGGACATCAAAGGGAGGCTGAGTTTGAGGAGGCTCAGGATGGGCCAGAAGAGGTGACGGGTGGGGAGGGGGCATCACAGGGGGCCGGGAATCTTAGCTCCCTGTCCAGGCCCCGTGGTTTTGGACAAGAGGCTTGACCAGTCCGGGCTGTGGGGCAGGGGCAGTGAGGACACCTCAAGGAGTGCTGGGGCTGCAGGAGGCCACATGGACACAGGACACGGGTGGACCGGTCCCAGCAGAGCTAGTAGGAGCTCAGGGATGGTGTTCAGGGACGGTCCCTCCGTCCCTCCTGACCCTCCCAGTGGCCTCTCCCTGGAGGCTGGGCTTGGGCTCCAAGGGAAAACAAGGGTAGGGCGGTTGGGGGCCAGGGCCAAGGAGTCTCTCCAGAACCACCCGCTGTTGGGTATGCGAGCCCGTGGGGACCCAGGGTCCCCTGAAGCACTGTCATCTCCATTAATGTGGCCCTGCCCTACTCTACCTGGAGGGAGCCAGCTCATTGGGGGGGCTGGTAGGCGTATCCCCAGGACACAAACAGCCTTTTCCTTCCAGACTGAGAGGGTTGGTGTGGGGAGAGGTGGTGGCCTGGAGGGGAATCTGGGGTCCCAACCTCACGGGGCTGCCTTAGGAACTTGACCCGAGATGATTCTGGCAGAAGAGCCCGGCAGAGGGGTGGCCCTGGTGGGGGCGGGTACAGCAAACACAGAAGCCAAAGGCCAGCCCCTTCCCAGTCCTCTCTCCCCCACTCCTAACCCCTTGACCCCCGTCCTCCTGTGACCCCTGCGACCCCCCCCAACCAAGGCCCACGGTGCCCCCAGAATTCTCTGAGCTCCTTTCTGCCTCGTGTCCCGGTGACCGTGGGTTGAGCCCCGGTTGGCCCCTGCATGTGACCTGGCTCCTGCCCAGTAACCACTGGGCCTGGCGCTTGGCCGGCCGGCGGGATCCCCCTTGGTGGAGGCCAGTCAGTCGTAAAGGGTCATAAATGGGGCGGTGCCGCAGGGCGAAGGTCGCCCAGCAGGGACTGCACCAGCTCAGCACCAGCCGGCAGGCCTCTCGGAGGGTCCTGGACGCCAGGCCGGCTCCAAGCCTCCCTCCTCCCCGAGATGGGGGCTTGGGCCCTGCTTCTGCCTCTGCTCCTGGCCGGAGCCCAGGCTCAAGGTACGCTGGCCGTGGCAGGCGGGCCGGGCGGCGGGCGGGGAGGGAAGGCACTGACCCCCCTCTCCCACTTTCCAGTCTGCTCTGTGAACAAGACCATCTTTGAAATCAAGGAGAACACGAAGCCCAGCAGGCCCCTGGTGGACATCTATGTCCCCGAGGGCCAGCAGGTGACCCTTGGACCCTCGACCACCCCCTTCGCATTTCGTCTCCAGGGGAATCAGCTGTTTCTCAATGTGACTCCTGACTATGAGGTGCAGATGGCGGGCCCTGGGCAAGCAGGGGGGCGGGGCTGGGTGGCCAGCCCCCCACGGGACCCACATGGAGAAGGTTTTTGGGAGATTCTGAGGGCTCTGTGTCCACAGGCAGAAACCCACCCTTCTTGGGCCCAAAGGCGTGGTTGAGGGCAGACCCAAGGGGACCGGGGCCCTTGGGAGACCAAGCTGCCTGGGCCCCTGATGTCCCCTGGGCTCGTACAGATGATGGGGCCTTGGGCGGTCGCCTGCCCCTCCCGGCCTCAAGCTCCCCCTCACCTTGGAACGGGGACGATGCTGCGGCCGGCTGGGGATTCCTGACGCTCGTCCGTCCCACAGGAGAACGCGATGCTGCTGGCAGAGCTGGAGTGCAAAAGAGGCAACACTTTGGTGAGTCCACCACCCT